CACCCCAACCATGTCACCGTTGCTGCCGATCAGCAGCATTGCCTGCTTCCCACGAGTGAGAGCCTGGAAGGCCCAGGATTCCCAGCTAAGCTGGCAGGCTCCAACCTCTGGCAACCAATATCGTTTTGGTTTCAGCATTTTCAGAAAGATACTACTGAACATTATTTCAGGACCACATGGACAGATGTTTGCCGTGCGCAGAAAGCCTTGGAAATGTGACTTCCTGTTCCAAAATAGAACAACCGTTCTTCCTCTCATCCAGCCCCAGAATCATAATGCCCATGGGATGGACACACTGGCATTTGACTGGCTGTGATCATACACCCCCCCCAAGTTACGTGTGTTGGACTGACATCACCTAGCTCCCGGTTCTGCAGGAGGCTGGAAAAATATCAGAGACGTGTGTTAGAGGAGGGAGCAGAATAGAAAAAGAAAGGGAGGACAGATGCACTCCCCCTCCACAAATTTAGCTACTGCTTTCCACAGTGAAAGTGAAACAGGAAACATTCCCTGTGTAAAATAACCCCTATTGCCTTGTTTCAGAGTGACTATCACAGACATTTAAAAGAGGAAGGGTGAAGTTTGCCACAGGGGCTTCACGCAGGGATTTTACTATTTCAGTGAAAATTACCTGTTTTCAGCTGATTTCAAAGGACTTCATGCCTGCGACACTCGTCTGATGCAAGGGCGCAGCGCCGTTTGACCGCTGGGCTCCTCTGAAGGCCGCGTATGGAAAAGCTGAGCGACTGTTGGTATTAAAGGACACTGGTATACCTGGGCTGGGCTCTGTGGCATGGGGTTCAGTGCTCTTCAGGCATGCACCTCCTACCCGTGGTATCCTTGCAGACAGCAACAGAGCTGCCTTCTGCACCGGGAGGTCTTGGTCCTGAGGGATTCTGGTGTGATAAAACAGGGGAAATGGGACTAAAGAGCCAGCAGGCATAAACCCGGTGGCCGCGTGAAGCACACCCAGATGTCAGAGACCTGCTGAGGAACTGTAACTCAGGCTGCCCTGAATACAGGCTCTCTTCTCTGCTTACGGGACGTGTCAAGCCTAGCAGCAGATAATAGTAAGATTGCTGTCTAAGCTTCACCAGAAAAGCTACAGATGTTCCTTATGTTTGGGGCATTTGAAAGTAAAACAGCCGGAGGCACTTTTTACATGCTGTAGGAAACAATTCTGCATCAGCAGGGAACAGGTTCTCTCTTGATAGCCTTCCTACCCTTAGGAAACCAGCATTTTATAAAGCCCACAAATCAGACCTAACCCCCTCCCTGCTCTGAAAGCAGGCTATGTTTTAAATCTGTGTATTAGATTTTCTTTCTAAATTGTTTTATCCTCCTCTCACAAACCCAAACAATTCCCAGACAGTGACTCGTGCTGACTAATCCAGTCTGGGAGACTTCTAGGTGTCCCTGTAACTTAAAACCAGAAAACAAGCTTCCTAATTCAGTAGCTAGACATTCCAATGAAGACCTGTAGGTTCCGAGCTTTTATTTTCCTTCTCCTCAGAGTTAAACATGCTTTTATCTACAGTGTGCCTCCCTCCCCCAGCAGGCTAGAGTTGAGATGAGCTGTAATTCGGACATTCCTTCCCTGAGATCCTGCTTACATTAGAAGTTCTGCTCCACAGGGCATCCCAGTGGCAAAGTGAATGTAAGTCCTCAACACAGTTAAACAGTGGGAAAAGGTGCTGTCTTCCAGGGAGAAGGGGGTTCCTAAAGTAATGTCGAGATATGTTCCCAAATAATCTTACAGAACTGTAAAAAGCCCAGAGTCGTAAAAAGATATGGGGCCACGGATAAATTGTATTTTTGGCCCATTCACAGTGCTGGACTGAATCATATTTTAGTCATGTCTGGAAACCACAGTGCCATTGCAAGGACTTCTAGTGTCATAGCATTTTCAGTGGTGATAGGCTTCTAAGCTATGAACGCTGCGAACAAGGTCTGTCTCAGAGCAGATAATACAGTTTATTGCCCATTCTGTGACCACACATCCTGCGCCAGTAACCAGAATTTCCACGCCTGCTCAGAAAAAGGGATATCACTTCTGGGCACAGTACCCTGCACCCCTAGTGCAAGCCTGTTGTGAGACAAGCCACCGAAAAGAGGGAAAAAGCCGTGTACACCGAAGGTAACACACCTGTGTTGTCTTCCCAGGACAGCTGCGTTGAGTTGTACAGTGCCTTGCGGGCTGATAGTATTTAATAAGCTGCTTTTGCTCTGGAGGCTGGCTTACGGCTGTTTCCTCATTGCGTAAGTCAAACAAAGCAGTGTGGGAGAACACCCATGACAATGGCCTTTATAATTAAAGGTCATTAAAAGCTGTCAGTCAGGGTGTGAGGTGCAACAAAAAGTCAACAACCTTTTGCCTTCACCCTTGCCAGCCCCTCCTCTCACAAACAGCTGCCTCCAGCCTTAGTCTTCGTCACCTTCTTTGCCCTTGCCTCTTCCTCCCCCTCAAGCAGCCAGAGGAAGGGGATTGAGCAGGTTTTTTTCAGCTGCCAAAACAGGCACGGCGGGGCCACCTCGGGTGCCCAGGGATCCCAGAGGGCTGCCCTGACTGCACACTGCCTGCTCGCGAGCTCTCGGCTCCCCGCTGTGCCGGCCGCCCCGGGCAGGGAGGAAGGCAGAGGGGCAGGAGAGGGCAGCCGCCCACCCTTCCTCCCTTCACCCTGCAGAGAGCAGGTGCCACCGATCCGGAATGGCACAACCACGGTGAAATCTGCTGGGCTTGGGGCTCGGAGGGACTCGCCTCAGTCCGGCTGGCCTGCGCGAATGCCTGAGCGGCTGCGGTCAAGTAAGAAAGACGTGACCTTTCTCACAAGGGCAGGCGGCCTCAGTGGCGGTGGGACACATGCACCCAGTTAAAATGGCCATGTCAGCCTGATGCCCTACTCTTCTATACAAAATGAGAACTCTGCTGGTATGTCCTCTACATAGTCTTCAAAATCTAGCAACAAAAATTTATGTTGAGATGCCCTCGGGTGTAATTTTTTTTTTTCTTTTCTGACTGTCGCTATTCGTAGCTTCTTTTCCTGTTGTGTTAAAGTAAGAAACAAAATAGATCTCTGCTCTACTTCATCCTCCACCTCTAAAGAAGTTCTCTTGGGTTTCACAGGGTAAGAAGAAGAATCCGTAGGGTAGATCCTTGCAAAATATAAGTGCATTATTGTTGGGATAACATGGGATTGTGCCAGAGAGAAATGTCAGATGGTCATACTGAGCAGGGTAACCAGAAACCACGTCAGAGGTGTGTGTTAGTGTTTCTAACCTCTAAAGAGGTACCTGGAATTCACTAACTGTTTTCTCTTAGTCTCTTGACCCCAATTTTAAAGATAATATGAATTATCATTTGAGAGATAGCTGTTGACAAGTTGTCAGAAAAAAATACGTCTAATAGTTTGCCTTGTAGCTTGTTTTCCACTTCACTAAGAGTAGTAGATGAAAGTTAACTTTTGTATATATACATTATTGTGTAGAAGGATACTACTGAAACCTCCTTTTATATAATGCAATATGTTGTGTAGGGCCAATATTAGAAGATTATATATATATCTACATGTGCATAGATACAGAGGCTTTCAGATTGAACTTTCAATATTGACTCTGGGGTTTTTTCTCATTTTGAAAGCTCAGTTCCCCCATATTAATGTTTCATTAACACTACTGTTTCATTATTTATTTAAAGAGAGAAACAACCAATGTATCTCATAAGTAGTATGACCTCAAACTATCTGTTATGGTGCTCCTGAAGTAAGGATCAACTCGTCAATATCAAAAAGGATCCAATCCAAGAAACAAAAGATTAAGGGAGAAAAATAAGAGCTGTAGATGACCTTGAAATTTTGAAATTTAATCAAGAACCAGAGATACAGTGCAATTACTAGGCTTCTGTATCTGTAAAGTCTCATTTCAGTCCTGTTTTGATGGTCTTATTGGATTGCAGGCCTTTTGCCCTGTCACTGCAGAGCGGGAAAGTGCCTTTTTTGTTAAAAAAGAAAGAAATCAATAATAAAAAAAAAGAGTATGGAAACGTATTTTTGATGTTAGTGATACACAGTCGGTACCCTTTCTGTGATGGTTACTTTTTCTCTGAGAGTTGTTTTCTCCCTGTTGAAAGAACGTACAAGGCCAGTGTGCATACTTGTCAAACATTTTATTTGTCATTCACACTAATTATGATATTGAATTTACAGAGGAAACTGTGGTACAAAGAAAGAAAGAAAGAAAGAAAGAAAGAAAGAATGAATGAATGAAAGAAATAAGAAAGAAAGAAGGAAAGAAGGAAAGGAAGGAAGAAAAAGTCTTCATTAGAACTAACGCAGCAGTCCAGCTGCTCTGTGTGCTAGTTGTAATGAATTCTCCCGTGGCGCTGGACACAGCCATCCCTATGTACAGCAAGAGTCTACTCTGACGTGGTATCTAGAGACTTCCTGTAGTGGGGGAAAAATCTACTCTATTCTCTTTTCCTATCTGGTTCCAAAAAACATCATCCCCCTCCTCCCTTCCCACCCCCCCCGCCCTCCCCCCCAAAATAAAAATCCCCTGCAATCAAAAACAAAAAAGCAAACTTCCAGAACCTGGTAGTTTCCCCTTCTGGAAATGTTCAGCATGACAGTGTCAAGAGAAAATGTGACTGTTGCCGGATGCTGCAGCATCTGTTTTGTAAACATAGCCAGTAAATGCTGAACAAATACACTTGGATGCCATTCTGATAGGAGTGCGGCTCCTGCTGCGTCCTCCCCTCAGACTTGCCATACGGCCACCTCAGACTGAAAGTTTAGTTTTTGTTTTAAAGAAAGACGTAACTGTCAAACCCAGAATACCACAAATAACCCACAGATTTTTCCACATTCATTTCTCCCCTACCACAAAAAAAAGTGAAAAATGTTGAATAGAGACCATGCTATAACTGTTTACAAAAGTGAATAAAATGTAGTTAATCTTGAAGCCTAAAATAACTAATTCAGAAAGAAATAAGTCTCACTACAGTATTTAAGCAAACACAAAGGTAAGTTCATTAAAAACACAGAAAAGTGAAAAAAAATGCAGAGTAATTACAAGCACTAAATATTTTGCTATGAAGCTTTTGAAATCTATTTACATACATAAATACAAGTAACTCTGTTGATGCAACCCTTCTAGGACAAGGAGAAAAATGCCAAGTGATCGGTACTGACCAAGCAAGGTTAACAAAAATAAAATACAAAATTGTTACAATGCAGGAAAACAAGCAAGTGTTTTGCTCAAAGAGAAAAATGATCCACTTCTCCTGAATCTTCAAATACACCAACGGAAAAGGTCACCCAGAAAGCAGTAATGAATGTTTCAAGAGTGCAGGCAATTCGGAACACTGACAAAGACTGTGGGCCATTTGAAGGAAAGGGTTTTTCTCCTTTCCAGCAGATAATTTGGCGTAATTCTACAAATCAGATCCTTCATAGCTGGGCTGTGCTCTGCATCCGCCTCCCCCTTGCGCTAAAGCTCCTGTACCTCGCCCTGGAAGTGTAGCAGGAGCTCTTGGAGTCAGCATAAATGTCATCTGAGAGCAAAGCAGCGGGCCTGAGAGCAAACGAGAGCCGGGCCCTGTATTGATTTGGAGGTCGTTTGATACGGCTGCACCTGGACAATGAGTTGTGTCTTGTGAAAGGAACACGCAAGCTGATAGTAAGGCCTGCCGTTACCTGTGTTTGGGTAGGGGAAGGCATCTAAGGCACTCTGCTGACTGCAACTGGCAAACAGAAGCACAGTAGTTTGGTTTTGACTCCATTTGGCTACCGGGATGATAAAACTATATAAATATATATATATATAATATATATATAAAAAAATATATACTTATATACTACAATTTGGAGACGGGTGAATGGGGGAAAATGTTCTACCCAAATGTCCTCTTTCTGCCTGCTAAGTGCTCTTAAGATACAAGAGGAACAGCACGGGAGTGTTTTTACAGCCTTGAAGATCTTGGCTGTCCTTAGTGGGACAGGGGATAGCTACAAAAATACAGATTTGAGAAACTGTGGTTACTCTGTGGCACTTGTGTGAATACAGTGAAACCCACAGTGATTAAACAGACTAATTGGGGGGATAATGAACTTAACTCTTCCTCTGTAAAGAGGGTGCTGCTTTGGGCTGTGCTTGACGTGCACGGAGAGGTTAGAGTCAAAAGTTTAGCTGGTGGCAATTATGACAAGCGAGACCCTGGGAAATCCCAGGTTTTTGAGACATGTCAGTAATGACACAGGGTAAGTGTGGTGATCGGTTCTGAAGTTTCGCATCCTGTTCACACCAGGGAGAGTAAAATTAAACTTCACCTTTAGGACAAGTGTAAAGGAAGTAAGGACAAAACTTCACCGTTAGGACAAGCGTAAGGAAGCGTGGACGTAAGGAACGTTCAGTGTAGGGTCTAATCTCCAGGCTCAGAGGTGCCAACTCCCCGTTCTTGTGAATCCCTGACCCCGTAGTTTCCAGAGCGGGTAGGACGCTCCTACGGGCGAAAAGGGGCAGAGGGCTGTAGCAGAAAGCAGGGAGCTGTGGCGACAGGCAGGCCCGGGAGCGGGCCAGCCGCACCGGCCGCGCTTCCGCCCCTGGGCTGGCGTCAGCCGGCCGCGGCAGCCCTGCCCGCTGCCAGTGCTACGCACTTGGGTGGTCCAGTCACAGGGCAGGTGTGAGAGCTGTAGTAAGTGGTGATTTTTAATTGCACGGCGACAGGGAATGCGTAAGATGGATTCTGCAACAGAGCTACTGTTTAGTGGTGAAGGACTTTTTTTTAGGCTACTGAAGAGGTGAGATTCCAACTATGTAAATGTCACAGCAGGTAGGGTCTCTGTATTTCCATATTGAGCGAGGTCTCCATACTTCCAAAATATATTTTTAACTGTTCTGATGTAATTTTGATTTTTTCTGCCTTTTTTTGTTCAGAGCAAACTCTAGAAAATTATAAAGAATATTATACGAAATGAAAAGCACAAGGCCATGCATGTGTTTTAACAGAAACATTTTGAACTTTTGCTGAGATCTCTTGAAACACTCCCTATTTTCTGCATAAAAATGACCTTATTGACAATGTAAATTCTTCAATTTGTAACTTTTCAATACCAAAGTGCTACTGCATCTGACTTAAACAAAGAAGCAAAATCATATTTAAAAAAAAAAAGAAAACTTGAAAAACAAATGGTTTTAAATAAGTCCAGCTGTTTTGCTGCCTGCAGCCAAGGATCTTTTTAATTTGAATCCTTTTAATTTTTTTTAAACATCAAACACTGATCTGAAGTCCCGCTTTCAAATACTCTCTGAGTTGACCTGCAATTGTTTCACTCATTTAAGAGGTACATTAAATAATAATCAGCTAATTTGGAACGTACATGTGTCAACATCAGCAGTTTGTAATTAACGAGTAGTACAACAACTGCATTCAGACCAAACCCTCAAATAAAATAGTGCCATAAACTTTACAGTGACATCTGATATGTTTGTGCTGTAATGATGGGCAACGATGACGACTCTGTATTAAACATGCTGTTAGTTATAAGCCTTGCATATTTGCTACAGGACAGAATACTGCGTGCGCCAGTTTTACATACCCTTCCTCTTCCCTCAGAAGATGGTGACAGAAGAACTGTTAAGGCCCCTTCTTTGCTAGCCTGCTTTCCATATGAGCTTGACAACCCTGTTCAGTGCGAGTTATTTTGTGATGTACGAACTGATCTATTTTCCAGCGCGCTGGAACGTGGCTTCTGCACTGCGCAGAAGTCTTGGCTCTGCTGAGCTGAGAGCAAATCTCTCACACCGACTCCATCGGAGCCAGGACTTCACCCTTGCCATGCTAACTGCGTGTTGGCTTTCACTTTTGAAAGAGGCCTCCACCGGCGCTGTTAGGAAGCCCAGGCAAGCTCTGGAGCAGAATGGGGCCATATGGGGGATGTATTTAGTTAGGGAATATCGAGTCTGCCTGATGAAATATGTACATCCTGATTACTGATCCTGAGGGTCACCATGGTGACGAAGGAAAAGCGAGGAAGGAGTAGGGAGAGGTGGCTCCACTGGGTGGGAAGGCACAGAAATTCACAGGGATTTTGGTGCCTAAATCATTTCAGTGGGAGTTGGGCACCTAAATGCCTTTGAGGATCTGAGCCTTGTTGGCTGAGTAAAATGAGAGTGAGATAATTGTAAACAATATGTCTAGGTAATTAAGAGGTCACTTTACCCATCGTTATTCCAGCCTTTTTCAATGTGATAAATTTGACTTTGGCTGCTACCAAAAAAAGGCAATTGCTGATCTTTTTTAATATAGGCATATTTAAATAATAATAGTATCAACAAATAAGAAAAGTCTAAATATCAAGCATAAATATCAATGAAATCATCAAAGTAGTACAGTAGTTGAAAATGACCCAAGGCTGTAGCCGTTGTATTAAAAAAAAAGTCCAAGAGAAAAAAGTTAAATTAACTCATTGAAAAAGGGGCTGATTCTTTCGGTTGACAAAGCAAGAAAGAAGCAAGCATGATTAAAACGAAAAACAGAGCAAAATCTTTTTCTTTGCAATTTATAAGGTGCCAAGAGAAATAAAACAAATTAGATGCAAAGCAGGATGAGCTGCATCCTAAAAACCAACCAACCAAACGAAAAAAACACCAAACCAAACCAAAACAAAAAACCCCCAGCAATAAAAAATTCCATATTCTTTGGAATATACAACATGGTTTAAAAAAAAAAAAAAAAAAAAAAAAAAAAGAAAGAACAAAGTCCGACATATAAAACCTCTCATTCACAGCATTGCTAAAACAGAAGCGTTCACAGTTTCCCTCTGGGAATCTTCCTATACTTCCTTACAGCTAATATGTCCATAAGATGCAGTAAACTCACTAAGATTTTTTTTTTTTTTTATGTTTTAAGTCTTAAAAATAGAAGTGAACCGAAACTCTCTTTAGGGCTGTGGAGACCTTCAAGCCCAGGCACGTTAGAAAGCCACGGGCCTGGAAACAGACTGGGTACCTTTCTACCCACCCTCACTACCTCCGGACCACCAACTCAGGTGTCCTCCTTTCCAGAAGCTCAGCCCCCCGGCAAGGGATCCTTTGCTGGAGCGACGTCGCTTCGCCAGGGGCTGGCTAATACGCGCCACCACTCCCGGGAGCGCTGACTTCTGGAGGTTTTGCTTCTGAAAGTGATGTATGAGCATGGCAGGGCCCGTAAGCAAGACGGGTGTTTATGGGAAACCTACGGGCACTGGGAAATGGAAAGCACGTTAGTCCTGACCCATAACTACTTAGAATTCAATCAGTATGGTCGCCACACCGCTTCCTCTAGCCGCGCCGTGGTTGCCATGTTAGTGGGGGAGTTGCTGTGGCTCCCTTCGGCCTCGACCACATCGCTTTGGTTGGGGAGGTTGGGGTTGAGGAGCGTCGATCCCGTGGAAGCGTTGGTGCAGGGAGGGTGGATGCGCGGGGGGGACCGGTCTCCCCCCGAGATCATGGAGAACTGATAGGAGCCGGCGGAGGTTCCGTAGTAGAGGTGGTAGGAGGGCGAGGTGGTCTGGAACGGGCTGCCCTGGGCCTGCGACGAGCCGGGGTAGGGAGGCGGGAGGTAAGTGTGGTATCTCGTGGCCGTGGACATGGCAGACATACCGATTCCTATCCCTGAACTGACGGGCGTTGGCGTGTAGGTGAACGCTCCCGGGTAGTGCATCCGAGGGTCGGAGATGGAGGGGAGCGCGGAGAGGGAGCGGTCGATTCCCATCCGGGGGTCACTGAACGCAGTCAAGTCAGAAGCACCTGGGTGGTGGGGAAGGGAGACAGAGAACTGTTGAGGTCGCGGAAGGGAGGGTCACCCATTCAAGGTGATAACCAACATCCTAACGCTGGTCTGTGGTTAACTGAAGCGGCCAGAACAGAGCTATCCCTCACCTGCTCCCTAATGCAGTCACTGTAATGCTCCTAGACCTGGATGCTTTGGATTAATTTCAGTAAAGCAACAATTAAAGAGGAGTGCCAAGCTCTTGCCCTGTTTTGTATGTGTATGTGTTTGCTCTTAGATACCTTACAGCACATGCAATTATTTACATTTCCAGAGTGTCCTCATCCTCAGTGGGTGGGTGGGGAAGAGGGACACAGATCTCAAGCTCCTTGCCCAGTATCATCTGACTCACCAGGGGCAGTGATGGGACCTAAATATAAACTGTCCAGCTTCTGCATAGTCTCTCCTTGGACCCAGTTTTATTTGCCGACTCAAGGGGGAAGTCTGGGGAGCAGAGATTGCCCTTTGGGTACCCAGACATGCACGGGCAGGGTTTATACACGCAGGCTCAGCCTAGCTCTCAGCACTTAGGAGCACAGTTCCCAACTGACTCTCAACACTACCAAAGTCAAGATACATCAGGTTCACTTAAGGTCTTCATATCTGGGTCCCCATATAATGTCTACATAATTGTTACTAACTTCTGAAAATCTTGGCTTTAATGAGGATGTAAAAAAAAGGACAACAATAGTACTGCCTTTTTAGAGTAGAATGGTATATTTGGGGGTTGGCCTTTTTTTTTTTTTTCCTTTCATGTGTGCATGAAGCCCTCCTCATCCTACTAAGCAAATGTTTTATAGGACAGTCAAATTCTGCTCCACTTTGGCTGACATCAGTGGAAGTATGCCCAGTCCCATTGTCTCCTTCCCTGGTGTGCAAGGATTAAACAAGCGGAGCAGATAATGGCCTCTTTAGGAAGGATCTTCATCATGACTCAGATTAATGGAAGGTGTCAGTCCCTAGAGTTGGCAGCTATGCATGATTAAAATAACAACAATAATAATTAAGAAAAAATCTTTCCAGAAGACAACTTCTTCTGTCAGACAAGGCGTGGAGTCTGCAGAAAAGGAGCCGCGTGCTGAAGGAAATACTCATGAGAAGAAGCAGAGAGAAAACAAAGCTCTTGGCTCTGACGGGATTTAAAGCCAGAGCAGACACACTCCAGCGCCAAGTTCTGAAAGCTCGTCAGCGACACAGCCAGCACACTTTGATGAATTTCTATAAATTTCTTAGAAAAGCTCTGACGCATGCTGTATGCTTCCTTTTTGAGTTTGCCTTCTATTTTTTTATGGAAGATTAATGGGACCCCTGAACACATTTCCTTCCCCTAGACCCCAGCACCTCTAGATTTAACATGGCAAGATGTTAACACTATGGTATGGAATGGCAGGAGCTTCGGAGTAGCTAAGGTTGAAGGTGGCATCTGACGACCTGCCAGATTTCAAATGGTACTTCCACACCTCATTCCTGAGAAAGAAATCAAACTTCTTGAAACTGCGTGGACACATCACTTATCAGATGAGGGTTTCTTCTGCCCAGTTTGGCAAAAAGCGGGAGAATGAGACTTAATGTCAAGGTGTTTCATGTCTGTCCCATATCTTTGCTTTTTCTTTTGAGGCACCGTGTCTTTAGATGGTAGGGCCTGAAGAAAACCTCAGATTTGCTCTGTGTTCTAAGAAGGAGAAATTTCTTAGACAGCAAGTGTGTGTGACAGTAATGAGACTGGGGACAAAATATCGTGAAGGATTTTTCTGGGACTGCTGAATGACATTTAATATTGAAGTAACATTTCAGAAGCATTATAAAACCCACTTAAGATATGTAGAGATGAGCCCCCCATGTACAGAATTAAGACAGGAAGGAAAGAATGCTGACACGTGAACAGAGCTCTCCTAGGTTCCTTCACAAGTCATGGAGAAACTATGCCTGCCCCAAGGGAAATCACTTTGACCACAGGCACAAAAAGCATCAAGAAGCCCCGGTGCTGGGGCTCTCCCTCCACGCTCACCGTGGGCCACAGAAGAGGCACGCGGTTACCCCACGCACCCGCAGCTGTCTGCTGTTAGGCTGCGCGCCCGGGGGGCAGCCGCCGCCGAAAGAAGCCTTTGGTGCTCAAACCACGACGTTTGGGCACTATGGCAATGCAGAAAATAGCGCGTTTCAGTACTGAGTGCGTTCGCTCATTCGAGTGCAACCTCAGTCGCCACACGGGTAAAGGTGAAATGGGATTAACACCTCCACTCAGTCTGTATCCACACCTACAGGTACACATGCGTCAGGCACCTCTGAAAAGCAAATAGGGTCTGAGAAGCAAAATAGCTGGTAAATATTGATTTCGAACAGTTCTGTCAAGAAAAATTACTTTTCTAAGTAAAAAACTTGATGAAATAATTTGTTTTACTTGAAATTTGCTGGTTGCTATGAAGAAGATCTTTTTTCATTCTCCATTTTCTCCATTTCTGCATTTTGCCAGTGGAAGGAGTGCAAAGGGAAGGAAACACAGGGGAGAAAGTAAAAATGACTCTTTTCGTTTTAAAAGAAGGGTGTGTCAATGAAGAATAAGAATTTCTACAAACTTTTTTAAAACAAGACATTTCCCTTTTTCTTTTTTTTTTTTTTTTTCCCTTCTGAAAGGTTTCCTGTATTTTCAGCTACCTCTAAGATGTAATTAGCACCCAGACCTAACACATAATTTACTTTTGGTGGGCATCATCCCTGTGACTCTTTGAAAGCAGGATCTATATGACAACAATAGGACAGGCTGGAGCACATTCAAGTGATTCCCTCTGATCTTAGAAGAAGCTCTGAGTATTCAAATGAGAGCAATATGTGCGGCCAAATAAGATATTTTTGACAAAACCATGTGCAAATTCGAATTATATGGCTCTTATTCATTTTAAGAAAATTCTTGCTATTGAACACACACATATTGGCTCAATATGTGTGAGTTAGAGTCAGCAGATGGTCAGTTGAGTACAGTGGAAACTTAGGGGGGTAGCTTTCACTTCCATGCTTTATTTTAACATTGGCTTGTAAAGCTCTGCAGTACAATTTGACGAAGATGTAACAAGACAATCCAGTGCACCACTTAAAATGTCAAACCCCACCATCCTGCAGTCAGTGTGTCCACCCATAACCTGCTGTGCTCTGGTCTGAATTTAGAGCCAGGGAAGGAAACAGAACTGAAATATCTGTGGCGTTCATTTCTTGGCAGATACGATAGCTCTTCAGCACTCCAAACTATTTTTATAGTTCCATACATCTGCAAAGTGCTGCTTTCTCCCTTTTTTTTTTTTTTTTTTTTTTTTTTGACAATGATATGTTGGGCCCCGACCATATTTCTTTACCCTTTGCACAAATCCCAGCAAAGCGTTGGAGAAGGCTTGCTGCAGAGGGCCCACAACAGGCTCTGCTGCAACTGGAGAAAAGTTGCGGCGGCAGCACCCTCGGACACCGCAGCTGGTTTGCACTGGAGTCAGCCTCGAAGCTTTGGTGAGGCCGGGTGCGAGGGACTAACTTTGAGGTACTTACTTGACAGCCGGCTTGAAAGCTCTGCGGTGAGGGATGTCATGCCGCTGGCCCTGCCGGGTGATATCGGCGTGGCGGGGTGCATGGAGGGGGTGGCAATGGAGCCCAGGTACTGGTAGGACTGGTCGTAGGACCACGGCGGAGATGGCTGTACTTGCCTTGTGTCTGCAAGGAAAAAGAGACCTATAGGCTGTTTTGAATGATAAAACTTTGCAATCAAATATGTGAACCAAACCACATGGTGGAAATTGAAACTTAAATGCCAAGATAATTACATTTCAGTTCCATAATCCCCTTTGTCAAGAGACCTTCAGATGAATTGCTTTCTGAAATATTACTTGTACATCTGTGAGTTTTGATCAGCTAATTTTTTCTTGTGAAGCTTTTTGACTATTTCACATTGACGGTGGGCAGGGAAAAGTGGTCAGGGAAAAGCAGATCAAGCTTTCCAAGGTGAAAGACTATTCAATGCTGAGATGCATTAGTATTTTGGGCTGTGTGCTTGCAGCCCTTTTAGCCAAAAAGGCACATCTCACATGGCACCAAGGAGACAAAAACCCAAACTGTGAGTGTTTCTGTGCAGGCGTGTAAGTAGAGAGAGAAGAACAAGATGAAAATATGTGTGTGTGCGTGTGTGTGAGAGAGACAGCGATGGAGAGTGAAACTAGTGTCCTCCAGAAGGCAGGCTCCTAAGTGGATGAATAGGACTTGGGAATTTGACTTCCTCAATGTTTTGAAAATTGCGGGCTTGATGAAATTAATGGGTATTTTGTACATCTATTTAGTACACGTTAAAATACGGAAGTACAATTCAGAGTGATGGGTACATCTACTAGCTGTGGTTGAACTTCAGAAACAGAAAGCCTTACACAGACTCTATGGCACTGCTAAACTGAAAATGTAGACACCCTAGGAGTACAAGCTTTCTGTAGAAACTGCTGCTTCTTGGAAGCAAAATCTCAAAATGCACAGATGCATAAAACATTTATGGAAAAACACTAACCTATTATTCTCTAGCCACAGAACTAGTCTGGCTGACTTTTGAAATCACAGATGCACAGCAGGGAGTTTGTCCAAACCAGTTGCACCAATGCAGAAACAACTCTTTTCTGATTATGTCATCTTTGCATATGAAGTTGGCATTTTTCAGTATATAGAAAATGTTTAATTTTTGTATAAATCAAAGTGAGAAAGATTCCTCCCCCCTCTACCTACCCATATTTATTTTTTTACTATTTTTAGTAGAATCTTTACTATTTTCTTCAGCTCTAAGAGCATTCTCCTGCAGCTTCATCTAGCTGATTGTCTTTTTGAAAAAAGCAAACCTTGGATGAACTGCATTCTGATAAAACTGGTATCAGCATGGAAGGGAAATTTCCCAAGCCTGAGATGAAGGACTTTGATCTTCCATCAGAAAGTCCATCTGGAAATTATTATTTTTCTGTGCTTTATGGAGATGAGTTTTACATTTTGTTTATTTAATCTGTTTAGAAGGGAAGATTTATACAAAACTCAGAGCTTTTAAAAAATAACTAGTTAAGTCACTTGCAGAATAAGCTAAAGTCTTGTTAAGATTTTTCTGCTGAGTAACATATTCAAATTCAGATATTATTAATATTTATTTTTTTTTCTCAGGCAGTATTCCTTAAAAATAAATTCAGTTGACTCATGCTGTTTTAAAAGCAACATCCAATTGCATTAAATGGACTTCAGTAGAAACAAACAAAAAGGCACAGGCACAAAGCCTGTCTTATTGTGAATTACAACATCATCTCATTGTTCATGTATGGTCAGTGTTTATTAAAGATGACAGGGAGACAGATGGGGGAATTCAGTCTCCAGGGGTAGCACTAGGAGAAATACCACAAAGCATCGACAGAGCAGGCGTTGTAATGGTACGACAGTGTGTGTTTCAGTTCTAAAATGGGGTTAATTAAATCATTGCTCCCTTATTTCAGCACGCAGTCCCATCGATTTCGGTTCAGCGATGCGGCTGAGTACTAGAATCATGACACGTGTGCTGGAGGGATCCCAGCCCAGGGGTGGAAGCTCCCTTGGCTGGTCCTGCTGCCTGGGGAGCCCTCGACGTGCTCCGCCAAGACTGATGCCACAGGCGGCAGAACCTCCCCTCTGCCACCTCTCCTTCAAGGGCTCTGTTCAGCACTCTCACTGCAGAAGCCACTGAGCCCCTTTGGCTGGAAAAGTTTTATCGCCTGATTTCAGGTGCGCTGTCCTTAGGTCTTAGCGCTGCAGGGAAGAGGGGAAAAGTCTGTTTTCAGAGTGATCTGTGTACGTGTGAAGGGGGTGCTGCCACCAATCCTTGGTTTTCAGGCTGAAAGGAGAGAACACGCGGCCTGTTTTCTCCTGTTACAAACTGTCATTGCACGGTAGGGCAGCTCTGGCCGCCACTTTTTTCCTGTTTCTTACACTGCTGGCTCTTCAGGCCAAGAGACGTGGCTTTGTCCTGTACCTTGCCCGGCATGCATGCGATCCTGGTCCATAAAACAGCCCCGAGTGCAACGAATGGATGGACAACAGTAAGAAGATGCAGAAAAAGCCCCAGCAGCTGCCGCAGTGGCAGAAGAGGAAGCAGGACCTTGTGACAGGTTTACTGAACACTGACAAGACTAAATTCTTTTAGTGCTACCGGGATTAGCTTTGTGCTGAGTCCCAACTAGAAACCGGATAATGGACCGAGTATGTGTCTAGTAGCATCCAGAAAAAAACTACCAAGACATCTGACCTGCCTCATGCATTTGCTGTTATTACTGACCTCTGGGGTACTTGAAACAGTGACAGACAGCCCGAGAGACCCCCGTTATTAATCTCCTCATCCCATTAAGTCTTTCTTAAGTGAAAGTTCAAACTGCCGATCAATTTTCCGTCTTGGTACCTGCATTCCTAACCCCTGTATTTGCTCTTAAAGATTGGCTTTTTGACATCAGACTGGTTAATAAGTTGCAATCTATTCAGTAATGTTAATATAGGGCATTATGTTATATACACATATTAAAGCAGGTTATGCTGACTAACCCCAGGCATCACCTTCACAGTTTTTTAATAACAAGTGGAGAAAAGTATCACTGTAATAGCATTTTTATGGCACTATTTCAGTGTCAAGAGGGAGACTCAGCTCCCAGTAAAGGCAAGGCTTGCATTTCCAGCAGCTTCAGTAGGATCTGGATCAGGGGCCTCAGATAGCATTTTATTTTTCTGATAGCTGATTTTCTTCAGCTTTCAGGTTACCTGAAATTAGACTGGAATAGGTTCACATTTGTCACAGGACTAGGCTACAGAGAAAGGCAACAAACTCTTTCCAAATCCATCTCTTTCCTGCTTTCAAAATAAAGATGTGCACATCTCAGAAGTTAGTAGATTGGCGCAGGGAACTGAATGTGTGGCTTTGAGTGGCTGAAGTTAATTTGGTGAAAATATGCTGCAAATAAATAGGAGCTGCTTCCCAACTCGGGGTATCTGTGAAGAGATTTGCAGGGAGGGCTACTTCTACAAAGGGGAATAACAGGGCTTTGGGTCCACACATTTTTAAGGCCAAAGAGGATTCTAAAATCATTGAAAAGCAGATCAAACTAGCACAAAACCAAGGAAGTTGTTCCAGTTGGTGATCTGTGCCCAATCCTCCTGGTATTTCTCCCATTAGCAAGTACTTTCCATTTCTGCTTTTTACGGTGTGAGAAAATGTATTTAAAACATGAAAACAGTTATTAATTGCAATAAACCACTCCAGGGCGAGAATTATGGTGCAATAATTCACACCTTGCTGCGTAGTCACGAGCTCTCGGCCTCTCGCCTGATGCCTAACAAGCAATTAAGCCGAAAGTATTGAACCATCTTTCATGCCTCGTCATGTTTTATTGCCACAAAAAGGTTGCGTTCGGCTTGTTTTAAAAAGTTGTAATTAAGCTGTACAAATGTTGCATAATGTTTAATAGTTTAACGAAACAAGCTCTGGTTAGAGACTCGGCGAACCACGGCGGGGGGGGGGGCAAAAAATAATAAAAGAAGCCGGTCTCCCCCTTTTCACGCCGCTCCCTCTGGTCTTAGTATTGAGCATTTTCCCTGCCGTTTTCGCCGTGGAAAAGGAAGAATCTCGCCCGAAGGAGGCGGAGGGCGGTCGGCGGCTCCGGCGGCCGCGCATCGGTAGGTGGCACCGGAGGCCGGGCAGGAGCCGGCGGCTCCCCCCCCCCCCCCCCCCCCCCCAAACCCCGCCGCTCCCCGGGACCCCCCCACCGCCTCCCGCCCCCCTCAGTTCCCCGCCCCCCCCCCCCCCCCCCCCCCCCCCCAACACCCTGGGACCTCCCCCCCGCCGCTCCCCGGGCTCCCGGAGCGGCGTCCGACTGCAAAAGAACCGTCTTGAGCAGCGTGAATTTTCCACGGGGGCAGCCGTAACCGGGCCCGTCGTCAGCGCCTGGCAGGGCTCTCCCACCCGGGACGCTGCCGGGAGCGCGGCTCCGCTCCCCGCCGTCCCGTCACGCAGGCGGCTGCCGGGGAGCGGGGCCGGGGCGCGGGGGTTCCCCGGCGGGGTGCACGGCAGAGGTGTGTCCGCCCAGAGAGACCCCGGCCGCGGTTTTGGCTTCCCGGGGTGTTATTCGATAGTCAGGTACAAAAAAGGGAAGGGGAACGAACTGCCTCCGCTCTCAGAGCACAGGACGAACGGGTCGAGAGCCCCGCGCGTTGCCTGAGCTTGCACAGAGCATCCTTTTGTCCGTAAAACTGATCCCCAGCGTACAGGACGTAGAAATCACTGGGGCATAATAAACATGAAGTCCTGGGATGCTATTTCTGTGTGATTCTTTTGCAGAGGGGGCTCACGCTTTAAAATGTAAAACAACATCCCCCCCGCCTCTTCCCCCCCACCCCCGGCTCCAAAAGAAAACACTGTGATGCTGTCAGGCAAGGTATAAAACACCGAGTTTCAGTGGGATCACGGTGATCCACAGTACCGGGTCAGGATGTTGCTTGGGATGACAGCAAAAACGTCTTTATCACCTCATCATTTCTATATAATAAATATAACAAGCCATACCAAGCTGTCTAAAAGAAAGCCCCCGCAAGACTTTATGTGCTGATCAGAAAATATTTCTTTCCAGCCATATTAAAAGCTTTAAGCTTCCAATTCAAATGAGATAACAGGTCCGGCCGCAGCT